CAGCTAATTTTTGATTTATTGTAGAGATGAGTTCTCGCCAAGTTGCCCAGGCAGGTCTGGAACCCACGGGCTCAGGCAATCCACTCACCTCAGCCTCCCAAAGGCGCGGGATTATAGGCTGAGCCACCGAGCCCGGCCCATTTTACATTCTTACCGATAGTGCTCAAGGGATTCAGTTTTGCCACATCCTTGTCATCATTTGTTATTTTGTTGTTGTTTTTTAACAGTAGTCCTTCTAACGGGTGTGAGATGGTATTTCATTACGGTTTTGATTTGCATTTCTCTGATTTCTGATGTTGAGCATATTTTCTAGTGCTCACTGGTCATTTGTATATCTCCTTTGGTGAAATGCCTATTCAAATCCTTTACCTATATTTTGGATACTTGGGTTGCTCCCACCTCATGGCTATTGTGACTAGCTCATATCTTTTAATCACTGACTAGTATACCACAAAATTTTTTAAATTTTGTTTGACTTGAAGGCAGAGGCATGCATCCCTGGGGACTGAGCTGGAGAGCTCTTTAAATGACAGAAACGCTGCTCTATTCATCATCCCATTTCCTTTCTGATAGACTCTCCATTCCTGAGGCATTTTTGAACCAGGCTTAGGGACTTTCTCTTTGTGTGTCTCCTCTCCCTTCCATCTCCATCTCCCACTCCCTCTCTCTCTTTCTCTGTGTGTTTCTGTCTCTCTTTGCCTTATTTCCTAAGATCCTCCAGGAGTTACATATAAAGAGTCCTGAAGTCCTGATCCATCAGTCCTCCAGCAATGCTTGAATCCTAGGGAGACACAGCATAGGCTCCAGCATGGACTCCTGCTAGATACAGAAAATGAAAGCATAAAGTAGGAATTACTCATTAGTGGCAGAACTGGATCTAGTCATTAAGGGTGCTTATGGAGCAGGTTCACCATGTGCTGGTCCTAACTGGTCTGAGTCCAGTGAGACAGAACACACACACACACACACACACACACACACACACACACACACAGTTACATGGAGCAGGTTTATTACTTAACAGACAGGCAGCAAGGGACAACAGAAGCCTAGGATTCATGGTGAGCCAGTCTCCAAAGTCTCAGGTGCTGCCCAAAGTAGCGGCATCTTGACTACATGAATCTCACTTGCATCATAGCTTAGAGACTTCAGGAAGCAGCCTGCCCTAGATTTTATACCCTGGAGGCCACATGACATACTGGGTTAAAGCACTGAAGGACAGACTGTTTCTAGGGGAGGTTGAAATAGAGCTCAGGCTGTTCTAACCAGCACCTCCCATCCCTTATCTCAAGATGATGCATTCTCAGTACATTGGACAGTTATCTTGAGACCTACATGTGAGACAGCAGGGAGAACTGGGTCAGACGGAGGCCACCTGGAGAGTTGTGGTGTAGTTTTGACTCCACCTTCAGAGGACTTTCACTCAACAATATTGTTTTTCTTTACTTCTACTAAGGAAATATGAAACTACAGACTCTGCCCTGCCCCCAGACTAGATCACATAATCTGAACACTTCAGCTGTTTGCAAATTATCAATAACTTTTTTCTGAGAATTTTTTCTGGTCAAATAAATGTAATTAACAAAACTTATTAATTACAAAAGGGAAAATAGCAATTTTAAAGAAATCTGGCAGGTACCACCATCATGAAATCAAAAGTAATTAAATCAGTAATAAGACAAACTGAAGTCATACATCATCTGATAGAATTCAGTAAGGAAAACAGCAGCACTTCTGTGATATTCCTGCTAAAATGCATAATCTGAAATGAGTATCTAGGAAACATCAGACAAATTCAACTTCAAGTAGGTTCTACAATGCCGGGCTCGGTAGCTCAGTCTGTAATCCCAGCACTTTGGGAGGCCGAGGTGAGTGGATTTCCTGAGCCTGCGGGTTCGAGACCAGCCTGGGCAACTTGGCAAGACCTCATCTCTACAATAAATCAAAAATTAGCTGGATGTGGTAGCGTGTGGCTGTAGTTCCAGCTACTTGGAAGGTTGAGGCGGAAGGATCGCCTGAGCCCAGCAGGTCGAGGCTGTGGTGGCCGGGAGTGTGCCACTGCACTCCAGTCTGGGCAACAGAGTGAGACTCCAACTCAAAAAAAAGAGAAGATTCTACAAATAACAGATCTGTAATCCTCAAAATTGCCCAAGTCATGAAAGTCAAGGAAGAACTGAGAGACTTTTCCAGATTGAAGGAGACTAGTGAACATGACAAGTAAATGCAGTGCACAATTCTGAACTAGATTTTTAACTACGATGTTGGAACAATTGGCAAAACTTAAATGGGATCTGAGGAGTAGATGGTAACAATGTTAAGTTCCTGGTTTTGATTGTCATAGTATGGTTATTGTTTTAGAAAATAAACACTAAAATATTCTGGGTAATGGGGCATAATATCAGCAACTTATTTTCAGATGGTTCAGGAAAAAATAATTTTTTGTATTGTACTTGCAACTTTTCTGAAAGCTTGAGATTGTTTCAAAATAAAATAAAACAAAAGCTCTCCAACACCTCATCTTCTTACAGATGTCACTAGAGTGCAATTCTAAATTTTGATAGTGTTTTTCTCCTTTATTTCTCTTTGTCAGTGCAAAAATCCATGATTACTTAACTATTATCTATTTTACCTCCATTTTTATACACCAACCCTTACTAAGCAGTAACCGCACTAACCATGTGCCCAGCCTTTTACTAAGTATTTTTCAGGCACTATCTCCTTTAATCTTGATCTCTTGCTACTTCCCCATTCATGCTCCAGCCTAGATCGCCCTGACTGCTCTTGGCTTTCTCTCTGGGCCTTTGTAAAATGCAGTGCCTCTCTTTTCTTTCTACCCCTTCTCTCCATCCCTTAATTCCTGCTTATTTTTCAGATTTCAGCTAAGATGACACTTCCTTCAGGGAGCCCTTCTCAGAAGTCCGAGTTGGGGGCCCCTTTCCTGTGCCCCTACAGAACCATCCCTTTTCTCACCATAGTACTTTTATACTATATTTTAGTTTTGTATTCTCTTCTGTTCCTTCTTCTACACTATTCAAGAGCATGGACTGTGATTTTACTGTTGTTTTATCAAAGCTAACAGAGGTCTTCGTCCATGATGTCACTCTGAAGAGATTTTAATTCGTGACCTCTTGCTTCTAAAAATAGAAAGATTGATTTGATGTAAAATATTCAATCACAAGTAACTAATTTGGTTTATTTTGCCCTTGTTCTTTAGTTAAACAATGTTCAAAGTTCTTGTAATGACAATGTATACTATAATATTAAAACTTCTTACCAAAATCCCAAAGGCTCCTTTTCTACATGACTCTTCCAAATAAAAGTGAATTATCAGCAGGCAGTAAACAAAAGACATTCACATTAATCCTCAAGTGACTTCCCACAAAAGGGTTTCACTCATGGGACTGGTTTAAAAGCAACCTTCTTAGACAGCAGTAACTAAAAAATTTTAATTTACTCTAAATTCGTCCTTGTCAGGCATCAACACAGGAAAGAGAAAAGGACTTAATTTTTTGCTAGTTTGTGTTTTGTGAGAGAATTAATTTTTTTTAAATTCAGAGAATGGTGCTGGTATTTCTCCTAGAGAAATCTAGGTGTTATAAAGAGACTTGTATTATGTTATAAAAAGGACAAGTAGAGATTGGAAAGGAAGGAGAGCCAGCAAGGACACCTCCCAAGTGCTCATCCACGTGAAACCAACCATTCCCCTCACTTTTCTTCCTCTTTGCCTCCTGCCCCAGCACGATGAGATGTGGACGAGTGGGCAACAGAGTCTGGTGGAGGCAGGACTGAGGCTGGAGAGTGAGAACCCCTTCGCTAAACCTGGAGACCTCAAACCCACAAAGCCTTGGTAGGTGCGGCGAGGGCTGGGGAACCTCAGACTTCACCCCCGTCCCCTCGCTGTGCTCCAGCAAGGGGCCATACCAGTTGTCGGGCCTGGGGTGTGGTGGCAAGAGCCGTGGACAGGGCTGTTGAAACCGGCTTTCAGCTTGAAGCTGAAACCCTGTCCTGGGCCCCGTGCTACCTGGTTTTCGTGCTTTTAAAGCAGATCAATGAGGTACGACAAGGGTTTCAACTGTGACGGTAGTCATGTCATCACTGTTTCAGAGGGTTGTATTCAAGTAACTCATGCCAAAGGGCAGAGACAGTCACATGACGACACTTGGGATTTCATTTCCCAGAGTCGCCCCCCAAGTCCTGAAGATAGCGGTGATACCTGAACAACATCATGAATGTAATTAGTGCCACTGAGTTAGACACTGAAAAATGGTTTAAATGGCATATTTTGTTTTACATATATTACTGGCACTTCAAAAAACGTTTGTCAGGTGAAGAAAACTGAGGCTCAAGGGCACCCTGTTCTATGCCCCTCCCCAGACAAGTCGCACGTTGGTTCCTAAGTCCACACCCGCGGAACCACCTGTGTCCCCCGCGCAGGACCTCCCTTGGCAATCTCAGTCGCCCCATTAATAACGAGGTGGCTGCTCGAGGTGGCCTTTGGGGGTCTTTCCAGCTCGACAGCTTTACAGTTTTGGACCGAGGACAGAAAAACTACAGGTCCTGGCTTCAAAGCAACCGCGGGAGTGGCTCTGCCTAACCCCTCCCCGCC